ACCTCAAGAGGAGGAAACGCATCAAACTAACAAAACACCCCGATCAAGTTCAAGCAGGTAAGTTTCAATTACATTTTTAATATTTAGAGCTTCTGTAATGAATATTATTCCATATTTTAATTTGAATTTCGGACTGAAATAAACATCGCAGAAGAGTTTCAGAAGTGATGCGACAGGATTCGCGAGACCATGTGATTTGCCTGTCCAATGTTGTTTTACTTGATTTTTTTTTTTTTTCTAACATGGTTGGCTAAATGTTTACGTTTTGTCTGGTTTAATTCAGTTTTTTTCCACTCCTACAACTCCTGAAATTAAGCTCCATGCCTTGTTCTTTTAGAAAAGTTAATGTAAAAAGGATTTGTGGTGTCATATAACAATGTGTGTTTTTTAGCTTTGATGATGAACCCCTCGTCATCCATTTCTTGCCTCCAAGCAAGGATATAGTGATGTGAAATACGATCGGGAGTCTGCACAGGATGTTTATTTTGAAATCAACATGATTTTGACTTTTATTTTGTATTTTCTGTGGCTTGGATGCGGCATCCCTCAAAAATAGACTAGGTGCCTATCTTTAGCGAAGCGGCGCATTGATATATATTATTTAAAAATGTCTAAAAAATGCCTCCGTCCACCCCTCAAATTAAAAAATCCCCTCTCAGAAGAGTCACCAAAGAGGGGAATTGTGCCCATTTTCAAAAATGAAATTCAGGCCCTGAATAAATGTCTAAGAATCCTGATTGGAGTATCACTATAAATAATTCTCCATGATAAAAAGAAGCCTTTAAAAAGATCAGTATCGGTGATCGTATCGGCAGATACTGCTTTCTGTGATTGACAATCGGCCTCAAAAATCCTGATCGGAGCACCCCTACCATTTATCCATGTTTAAATCTGTTGTAGCATGTATGCAGCAAAAATATGTTAGATAAATTAGCTGATTGTTATTAATCAGTGAACTTGAATAGTGAACGCATAGTAACGGTTGTGATATTTTTGTGAAATTGTGATATTTAATTATGACTACACATTTTTACATATATTAGCAATATTATTATTTCTATTAATAAAAATTTACGGCCACCCCTGCAATACCGTTGCAGCCCACAGGTTGAAAACCACTGCTCTAAACTAATACTTTAATATTCTAAACAATCCTGGTGAGGCAAATCTATAAACTAAAAGTGTTTGTTTTTAAAGTGTTGAACTAACCTTCAAACAAATACTTGTATTCAGATAGGCTGTGTCTCTGGAGCCATTCTTCAATCTGACTTTCCTTGCCTTTCTTCCAGCGCACCTCCCAGAAGAAAATCCACGAGACTGAACAGAAGACGAAGGTCAGCAAAAACAGTCGGTCCATTAGACCATGCTTAGACTCCACTCAGACCTCTGGGAGCTCAGGGTCTGCCTTGCTTTCTGCTGTCCTATCTGGTCCTGAGTACTTCTCCCATGTCTTCTTCTACTGGGGAAAATGACAGGATACATATAATTTAGACTTGTGAAGCAATATTTGCAGTGCATTTAGAAAGTATTCAAACCCTTTCATTGTCACATTTTTGCACCGTGTCAACACTGGACGTGAGCAGTACGATATGATGCGACGTGACTAAAGACAATAAAATTCTGTCTCCACTGGATGCGGCACAATGTGGGCCACAAATCTCCCAACAGTAAACTGATGCCTTGTTCTATTTATGGAATGCTGACAGAAAGGTCAAATGATTTGAAACATTTGATCGCTTTGTCAAGTATCTACTGCAGCCTCTAGTTGGCGTGATGCAACACAAGCAACAACGGTCGTGTCCAATATTCTTCAAAAAATCTTATTTCGTGTTCAACAAAAGAAAGAAACTAATACAGATTCGGAACAACTTAAGGAAGAGTAAATGGCAATTTTCATTTTTGGGTGAACCATCCCTTTAATATTTAGATGAAGCACATTGAGCGGCAATTAAAGCCTCAGGTCAAGTGTATGATGTGATAAGCTTTGTACTAGGGCTGGGCGGTATATAGAGTTTGTACGATATATCGATATTTTCTTTATAAGCGATTCGATATGAGGCAATACCGTTTATATCGATATACAGTAGTTTGATACGAGCGCATCTGAAAATATAGTGGAGGACACAGACTGAGCTGCTGCGGTGAAAGTGCATGATCCAATTTGTTCTAAACATGTGACAAGCTTCATATTAAGGCCTTTAAAAACTGGTAAGACATAGTTTTGTTTCGCATATTAGTTTAAGCAGCTCGCCCCGTCAGATGCTCTGACAGAAAGGCTGCTTGTGCCGCTGACAGAGACACTAATGGCACTTTTCCACTGCATGGTACAGCACGGTACGGCTTGGTACGGTTCACTTTTGGGGGGTTTTCCACTGGGTACAGTACCTGGTACTTTTTTTAGTGCCACCTCTAGCCTTTTTTTAGTGCCACCTCTAACTTAGGGTGTACTCACACTAGGCACGGTTGCCTTGAACCGAGCCCGAGCACGATTATCCCCCCTCCCCACTCGGCCTGCACTCACACTTGCACTAAACGTTCCGGGCCAGAGCACGCTTACGTCATGTATGAGATAACGGAGAAAACCACTTTCGCTAATATTCTGCCGAATAATTAATAATTATTCATTTATCATTTATGCCGTGCATTGATTTTCACTTGTATGTATCAGAAAATTATTACGGAGGCAGCTGACATTAATGAAATAATTTGCAGCTTTACTGCAAACTACATTTCCTGTTCATCAATAAGGTAAGAACCAGAACCATTATAAACAAATATACTTGATTAAATTAAATTAATTGAAAAGTGTAGTGTAGTAGTAGTAATAGAATATGTTTGCGGTCGTAATGATGACAGTAGCACACACAAAATAGTATCTGTTCAGTGCTCCGGCGCCGTTAGCGCTCACACTACATGCGTACCGCGCCCGAGCCCAACCGAACCGTGCCCTGGCCCACCTCTTCCAAACGGGCCAGGGCCGGCTAAACGAACTGCGCCTGCGAACGGCACGGAGCGCTCACACTAGTCAAACGAACCGGGCTTTGGGGGTCAAACGCGCTCGGGCACGGTTCAAAACACCTAGTGTGAGTACACCCAACTCGTGCTGTTTAATGTGTTTGAGATGTGCTGTCTTCCTGAATGCATAACTTACATTTCACAGGTATATTCTCCATCTGTAAATGTTAGAAAGTCATGGAAATATTTCCATTTTTCTGTCAGAAGTGCATGAACCTTCTGCTTTGGGATTCTCCGCTAAACTTCTCCGCTAGACTTCAGTGAACGAGTGCCACCGCGCGCATGCGTGCCAAACAGACAGATCTCAATTAAATAGGAGCGCAATAATTCAGACTAAAATATACATTTCGCTGAAATATTTGTAGTTGGACAATAAATTTACCGCTGATTACAGAACCGGCTTTCTGACAAGATGCGCGTTAAATATCGCATGCGATTAATCGTGCAGCCCTACCTACAAGTAAGACTATTTTATGATAGCACTGACTAGCAAGTGACTGTAATGGGGTAATCAAAATA